CTGAAATAAAACAAAAAAGGTTCAACATCTGTCTGTAGTACCTCAGCTTATGAGATACTTTACAAATCTTTTGTTCCCTTGTTACCAGTAATACAACTGGCAATTAGTACAAATAAAAGTGGGATCTCACCTGAGGGTTTGGGAAAATTATAACTCAAATTATTGTAATATCTGGTGGCTAGAAAAATTAAAAATTCTTATGTTTTAGTGTTATTCAAGGAAAAGGATATCTCAATTTTGAAAGTTAGTGACAAATATCCTAGAAGCAAAATTTGGATCCCACTAATATTTACTGAATGATCCACTGTGATTGAATCCTTCACATATTAACTCATTAGTCCCCTCAAAACCCTGTAAGTATCATGCCAATTTTACAGATGAGACTCATAAATCTAGACTGCAAAGGATCACTCTGGAATCTATCCCACTATTCTTTGACCCTGCATCCCAACGCTTTTGTGCTATATTCTAGGTATTCTTCAGCAAATGTAGGAAAAAAAAATTTTAGCTATTCTAGATTTAAAAAACTGATATATTTCCCTTTGTTACAAGTTTATGCTTATAAGTAACTTAATTTGTTCTTCACTGTTGAAACACACATACACACATTTTTTCAAACTTCTACCTCTATAGTTTTTTTTATACTTTTGTTCGTATTAATTAGTCACATTAAGTAATGCAGGGCTGGGGATTTAGCTCAGTGGCAAAGCACCTGCCTGGAAGGCACAAGGTCATGAGTTCGATTCCTGGTACCAGAAGAAAAACGTTAAGTAATGCATGCTCTGTTGTTATTATATATCATATATATAAGATGAAACAATAAACTTTATTTCAAAAATAATAATTTTTTCGATGGGGGTGTCACTATGTTGCCCAGGCTGGCCTCTTACTGGCAATCCTCCTCCCTCATTCTCCCACATATCTGGGATTAAAAATTAGAAAATATAATTTACCCAAAAATCCATAATCAACAAGTACTTACCATAATATTAAAAATCACTAACATGGCTATAATGATATAAGGGAGAAAAAGTAAGATATTTTGCTCACTAGTTATTTGGTTCATAGCAGAGACTCCCTAAGAAGATAGGCAAATAAGACAAAAGTTCAAAAATTCATTTAATATAACGTTTACTTAATACAGGAGCTTTCACAAGTGGAGATCCAAAGAAACACTGAAGGAAGTATTTGTATGCTTTGGTTTGATAAAGAGTCAATAGTCAAACAGAGAATATGATTAGAGGACAAAGAGGCACAATCTAATGGTAATAAATCAGGGGTAGCTCAGCAAGGTTTATTTCTTAAGATTCTTTTCTATGTCTTTGTATCTTTAGCGATAGGAACATTTCTTTTCTCCAGTTATAACAGAGATGCCCCTCTTGAATGAAAGTCTTTAAATCCACGCCAGAGGAAGGTCAAGAAACTGTCTCATGGCTTGCTTTAGGGGAGAAAGGCAGAAGGTCAGAAAGACCCTCCTGCTTTTACCATTTCTCAAATGCCGAGGGGGCGTATTTGGGGCAGCTTGCCCTGAACCCTGTCAGTGCTGAAAAGCAATTGGTTTAAATAAGGACTGAGCCAATATGTTGTAAAATGTTGTATGTCTGTTAATGTTTCCCTCCTTTTATCCTTAAAATAAAATTAAAAAAAAAAAAAAAAATAAGGACTGAGCTGGTAAATCCCGATTCACTGTCACTGGCCCTTAACTTTGGCTACTCCCTTCTATCTTATCAAACCCGTCAAATGGTAGATAGGGTGTGTTCAGTGCAGAAACTATCTGATACGTGGCCCTCATAATGGTAGATCCTACCGAAATAATGCCCTTAGATTCCTAAGATTTCAATATCAGAATATCTGAGCAACACAAGATAATTATAAGTCTGGTCAAAAGAAATGAAATTTATTGTGTTTGTTAAATTCTTATGTTAATAAAGACACAGGAGAGAAGTTAGACTTGCAGAAATTTTGATGCAGTTTTTTGAATCTTTTCCTTACTAAGTTAAGTAGAGAACTATAAGGCTACAAAATCTGTTTTAAAGTTAGTGTAGTAACATTCTATTTCAAAAGTCATGATTCTGGTTATAAATCAGTCCTGTGCATTTAATTAGCATATTTTCTTTAAGGTCTAAAGATGATTTAACTTTGGCAGGTTCTTGCTACCTAATTCTTTGCATGCAATAACAACTATTGAACATTTTAATATCACCGTGTAAAAGCCATTTATAATATTCAAGACTCAACAGTTCCATTCTCAGGTATCAATTCTTTAGTAAGAAGTAAAATCACTGAGATTAACAAAGCTACCTAGTTATTCAGTAGTAAAGTAAATCTTTAAAATATAATCCATTATTCAACAAATAGTTGAGTCTGTGTGCTAGATAATAGAAACTGAGTAGTGAGAAAGACACGGATTATTGCTGAGTAACAAACCATTCACAAATTCTGTGGCTTAAAATAGCAACATCATTATGCTTGCAGATTCTGTGGGTGTGGAGTCTCGCAAGGCATAATGGGAATTGTTTCTCTCCTCTCCACAGTGTCAAGGACTTTTTCTGTGATGATGTGAAAGGTGGAGGAGACCTGACGTATGGAGGCTGGAATCACCCAGAGATGGCGCCTTCACTCACAGGACACGCTGAGAACCAAGGACCAGGAATGCCACCGAGAGCACCTGCAGTGACTCCAGGTGGTGTGGCTGCCTCTCAGCATGGCAGCTTGAGAGTCAGCTCCAAAGGACTCCAGGCGTGAGTGTTCCATCAAGAAGAAGTTGTCTTGCTTTTTATGACCTGAGCCAATAGATCTGGGACAAGGCGTCAAGTCTGTGTTCTTAATAAACTTGTCAGATGATTCTTCTCACGCACCTGGTCTGGAAAGCACAGTGTACAGAGGCCAATGAGAGCATGAGAACAGCCCTGAGGAAGTACCACTTTCCTCCCATTTTAGAAATATCTATCATTAGGAATCCACTATATGGCATATGATGCCTAGCCTCAGAATTCACCATCCCACCATATTCCATGGATCAAAGCAATTACAAGCTCCCCAAATTCAAGGAGAGAAAAATTAAACTCTCCTCCTGACCTTGATGTAGGAAGTGGTAAGGCAATATTGGGAAGAGCGTTTGAGATAGCAGGTGTAGTATCTCTGAGAATAACCAAGGCACTTAGCACTAATGCTCCTGAAACATCCCTTCTGCATTCCCAAGACTCTTGCCAAGTCACGGGACACTGTAGGGACACTGGGGCTGGAGGGTCTGGGTACGAATTACCTGACAGACTGGGAACTAGGTAGGCTAGTGCTATCCATAGAAACTGCTTTCCTGCCCATATGCTAAGTTAGCTGTTCCTTAAAATGGTGTCATACGATACAGCAAAGAGAGCAAATAATGTCGCTGTGGTGTAGCTTAATCCATAAAAACCCCTTTCTGTAATAACTGCCACTGAGGGGTTCACCTAACTCGCCACCACTGTACCCACCAAGTGATGCTGCTGTTGGGTACATACCCTATCAGAAATTTTTGCCAAGAGGCACTGTTGTACCTACATGTACTTCACACGGATCTTCCCTTGCTAGCAAGTTGCAATTAATTCTATCTTTTCTCTGTATAACCTTGACACATCTTATCTCTCACAGGCCATCTCCAGACACTTCCTTCAGCCTCTCAGCAACTTTGTGCTGCCCCAGCACACCTGTACTGTCACACTGTACATGAGATGAGAGGCACTCTTGTCACCTTTGGAAAATGCAATCTGCCACAAAATAATTATGACAGAAAGGGCGAGAATACCACCGTTCAGAATTTTTAGATTACTTATAAGGATGATTAAAGTCTGGTGTGTACTTTCTACAAGTTCCGAGGACTAGTCAAAGATTTTACAAGTATTAACTTATTTAATTTTCAAAGCAGTCATACAAGGTAATATTATCATTTCTTTCTTACAGATTTAAAACTCATGACACAAACTAACTAACTATTGGGTCCAAGGTCACAATAGCAGTTGGGGAATCTGGACATGACTTCAGATAGTCTAGTTCCAGGACCCCATTTGTAATGGTTTTTAATAGCTACATTAATTGTCAAAAATAATGCATAGGTTACTTTACTGTTTCTTTTTGCTTATTGATATTACTAAAGTGGGAGGAAAATTCTCATCGATCTCTATGCGTTGTGCTTTCCAAACCAGCCACATAAGAAAAATCATCTGATGAGTTTGTTAAGAACACAGACTTGGGGCCTCTTCTAAGACCTACTGGCTCAGAATCTTCCAGGAAAAGACCCGGTGTGTGATGCCCACATTCTCACAAATCTGTTTGACTTTTCTTTTTTCTTGCCTGTGCTGCAGCTTTCAGAAAACACTCAAATAAAAGAAACCACTCAACCATACAGTTAGTGATTTTATGTAATAAAGAATTACTTGCCTCTTAAAGGCTAGAAAATATTTGGCAACCAAAGGATTCCTAGGAACCCTAAAACACAACTTGGCATCTTAGAGTTGCAGTAACTCCCATAATATGTCCAGATAAAGTAGGTACATGTGGGATATTGTCATCTTTGAGAAATACAATATGCTGCAATGTAATACAGCATGATACATGAGGCAAATGTTAGTGAACTGTACAGATCAAGAAAAACAATTTCCCCTTACTTAAAAGAAAAAACTTTAAACAAGATCTAATACCTAGGGTTAAAAGGGAAACAGTCAATTAGAAATGTAATTAGTTGTATGGGTTCATCTTTCAAACTTTTCATAATATCTATGTTTATTTTGAAACATAAAATTATTACATTTTAAACTGGATTAGAAAAAAAAACATTGTAAAAGCCATTCACCTGCCACTCCAGGATAACAGTTACATTTAAATCATCTTATCTCGAACAAGCTTCAGTGTATATATCACTGAATACCCGCAATACGAAAGAGATCTTAGTGACATCTAGTGCATGGGAATTTACTACATGCCAAGCATCACACGTTGCTTTATTTATTTCTCACAACACTTACGAGCTGTCTTCACTGTTTGCAGACGAGGACGTTGGAGCCCAGAATGCTGCAGCCATTTGTCCAACGTTTCATAGCTGAGATGTTTCAGAGCTGGAACTTGAAATAAGCGCAGAAATAAGTCACTAAATGGTAACCACAATGGCCTTCGTACTAATAAAGTCCATATATTCATTAATGTCCTGCACATGCATGTACATACTATTTAATAGCCATGGAATTTGAGGCCTATTTTGCTTGAGTAAATGGATTTTTCATACTATAGGAGATGGATTTGGAACTATTATAAACACCTATTACAAAACTTTTTGAATTGCATAAAAGATCAATTGGAGGGGGACAGGGGATATATAATAAATACTTGTTCTAATGCAGTCAGTGTATTTTGTGCAACTAATATATAACTACATTTCATCTCCATTTTGCAATCTAGCTTTTAGGAGCAAGATACATACAAATATTTATATAGCAAGCACTTCTTCATTCTTCATTTAGCAAGCACTATATGTATGAGGAATATACTATTTTCATAGAGGAAGTAGGCATAGTATTAATACTGGGCCATTAATAGCATTCCGTAGCACTCGTTAAGTTGTAGAATTTACAATTTCATCCAAAAAGAGTCAAGATTTCAACTATGAAGTGATTCTGAAGGATAAACCTTAAAGACAATGTTATAAGGCAACTTCAGTGCATTTGGAATTTAAACCCCTTAAAAAGTCACTTGGGAATTATTAAAATATTCACTTGCGTTCTTATTTCCCTCTATCTTTACTTAATTTTAGAAGGGCTGGATGCCTAAACTCCCTTTTTGCCTCCACTATGTATTTCTGTGCTACTCTCAGGCTAGATTCTCAAGTAGATTGACAATTTGGTCATTGAACTCCCAGTTATGTGAACAGAAAGCCCACCTTAGTGTTAGGCCTGATCAGGTTAGTGCTTTTCGGAGGCTCGTTTTTGAGACAACACTGTGAGGGCCTTGTGGAGAAAGTACCAGGCAGGACACTGCACCGAAGGCCAGCTTGCCCATGATTTCAGGCCAACTCTTCTAGATGCCAGTTTCCTCGTCTGTGAATTAAAGGTGTTTCTTGCCCTACTCAGCTCTTAAAGTGGGTGTGACGGTCACTCGGCTCAGTGAATAGGAGAAAATGCACACAGTGAACCGGAAAGGAATACAAGGGTACACGAGTAAAAAAAGTATTACTGTGCTCCAGAAACAGAACCCTTCTCCTCTCCCCAAAGAATGCAGGAACCCAAGCTGCTCTACCCATTTTCTCCACCAGTGTATCAAGAATGCATCTCTCGTGAAGACGCTGCACATAGTCCGTCCTGTCAACACTTGTCAGTCTGCAGAACGAATACAATTGGATACATAGAAGGACTTCTGGCCTCAGCCCCATATAAATACAAATGTGTTCTATTCATGATGATTTATGCATAACTAAGGCACCCCACACATTTTCTTATAAGAAGGGTTAATGGTAGGCCATTAAAGATGCACAAATGATCTAGTAGCCTGTATCACTATACTATGAGGTTGCAGAGAGTTCTACAAAGTCCCATTTGGCAATGTTGATTTAACACCTTATAAAAAATCAGCTTTTTAGAGGAGTGTTCTGGTTTTCAGGCTGGGGACAAAGAAAAGTTTAAAATAGGTCAATTAGCCAATTTTTTTTTCCAATCTAAAAGCTTGTCCTGAGTATGATATGACTAACTTTTAAATGTTCAAAGAAACTAGGTACTTTCCTAGTGCACTTAGAACACAAGTGACTTTTCTCAGCAAACTACATTTTAGTTTCACATTCTTTGATGTTTTGGTTTTTCCTTTGTTTGTTTATTTTTGTTTTTGTTTTTCTTCCGGTACCAGGAATTGAACTTACGACGTTGTGCTTGCCAGGCAGGCTCTGTGCCTCTGAGCTAAATCCCCAGCCCCTCTTTGATGTTTTTCAAAATTGATTTTTACAATTGTAGAGTTTTCCTTAAAATTTTTAAAACTATACTTACCCTGAAGGTACTGTAGATTAATAATTTTAGAATTAATGCTTTTGCTCTGTTGGCCATATAGTTTCAAAATTACCAGGCATGGTGGCACAAGGCTATAATCCCAGCACTCAGGAAGCTGAGGCAGGAGGATGGCTGTGAGTTCAAGGCTAACCTGGGCTATAAGTCAGTTCAAAACCAGCCTGTACTGGACAGTGAAACCCTGTCTCAAAAAGACAAAAAATATATTTTTTTCAAAATAGTTTTGTACAATTAATTAAGTAAACCAACCCTTAAACATCATTTAGTTTCCAGGAAAGCCACAAGGCACAGTATTAGGTTAAGAAATTACTCACTTTAGGTTACATTCTTTTGGCAAACCCAAAAAAACTGTTTTGTTATATTAACTAAATAAAACCCACAATGAATGCAATTGATAATCTGAAGATTTTCCCAAAATTTATTTCCTTCAAGACACTTCCAAGGATCATTGGAGTATAAAAATAGCTGAAATACTTGTTCCATTTAATCTTTTACCTGGCTCTTCGACAACAGAGGTAATAGTAAATATGCCAAAGTAACTGAATATTTTCCACTGGAAACATGATTTTTTTAAGAAATGCTTTTATATTTCCCAATTTTTGGAACCTGAAACCAAGTCTCAACATAGCTCCTGGAACTACAGTGTCTGTCTCACTTCTCCTGACACAGAAAAGCTTCTCTGGGAGCCTGGAGGCCAACAGGAAGCAGCAGACGTGGAGGGAAGGGTTCTGTATGAGGGAGACTTGTCTCACCACCAGCGGAGCATGGACTAACGGGAATCATGAAGACCATGTTGGCCTAGAAACAAGACTGAGTCTTTAATATTCTCAGATCCTTCAAATTTCCCTCTCCCCTTTCTTTTCCTCATCTCTCCAACATGCCCTTAGCCTCCTTAAACAGAAATTACGCTTGCCCCAGCTCTGTGAATAGTTGGCTATATGTGTGAAGTATACCAACATTTTTAGTTCTTAGGTACTTTTCTCTATTTTTATGAATATTAATTTAACTAATAAATTATAATTGTATGCATGTGGGGTGCAACATGATATGTTATATATACCATGTGGGATGATTAAATCAGGCTAATTAACATATTCATTACCTTACCTTTTTTTAATAATGAGATATTTGAAATTTACCTTCTCAGTAGTTTTGAAATATATAATATAACTGACTCTAGTCACTACTGTGTAGTAAACTTATTCCTCCTGTCTAACTGATGCTTTGTACTTTTTGGCAAAGGATCCCTGGTTCCATCCCCACCTGCCACCTCTGATAACCATCACTCTACTCTCTGTTCTATTAGTTCACCTTTTTGAGATTCAACATTGTAAGTGGGATCCTGTCCTTATACACTAATAGCAAACTATCCAAGGAGAAAATTAAGGAAACAATCTCATTTATGATGGCAATAAACACAAAATACATACATGTAAACTTAACCAAAGAAATGAAAGACATATATTGAAAAATATACAATACTGACAAAAGAAATAGAAGAAAACACAAGTGGTAAGATGACTTTTGTTCACAGATTGAAAAAAATAACATTGTGAAAATGTCCGCACTATTTAAAGCAGTCTACAGATTCAGTGCAATCCCTATCAAAATTCCAATGTTATTCCCACACATGCACAAACAACACACACACACACACACACACACACACACACATATCCTTAAACTGGTAACCACAAGAGACCCAAGGCAATTCTGGGCAAAATTAACAAAACTCAAAGCTTCGTACTTTCATAGACCCATAGACAATTATTCACAGAGCTGGAGTAAGAGTAATTTCTGTTTACAGAGGCTAAAGCCATGTTGGAGAGATGAGGAAAAGAAAGGGGAGAGGGCAGTTTGAAGGATCTGAGAATATTAAAGACTCAGTCTTGGTTCTAGGCCAATGTGGTCTTCATGATTTCTGTTAGTCCATGCCCTGCTGGTGATGAGACAAGTCTCCCTCATACAGAAGCATTCCTTCCATGTCTGGTGCCTTCCTGCTGATTTCCGGGCTCCCAGAGGAGCTTTCCTGCATCAGGAGAAATGAAATAGGCACTATATGGAGATGATAGATAGATAGATAGATAGATACTATATAGAGGGATCTTCTGGAATAAGTAAAGTGTTAACCATTCAAACATATGAAAACAAAATGAATTGCCTTAGAATGTGAATAGCTGAGCAGTAAAGATGGCTTCTCCTTGATTACCTAAAGAATCATAGTACAAATTCTCAATTCTCCTGGCCCCAACAGCTAGAAATTGCTTGTACAGTTGAGCCATATGAAATTTCCGATATTTGACCATTTTGACATACAGTGATAATGTTTAAAACTTTAAGCCCTACACAGAATACTTGGATTAAAATAAAATTTTGACTTAGCAAAGCCTCTCTGCCACCACTAAGTTTTTAACAGTATTAAACAGTAAATATTTAACAGTATTAAAAGTAAATATCTACATTAAAAAATTCCAGCTGTTATACTTTTTGCTCTGGTTCTAATAAGATCCACAATGACATTTTGAGCAGTTCTTTTATGAAAAGTGCCTGTATCTTACTTTCAGTGGTGTGAAATCACAGAGTGCCTCGAAGTTTCTACTGGCTTGCTCAGCACAGAACAAGCAGACCTTTATAGTACTTCAATTGTCACTGCCAAAAAAGGCAGAGGCAACCCGCACTTAAAATAACAAACATCATTTTAAAAAAGCAGTGTCATGGCCGGAGATGTAGCTCAGTGGCATAGCACCTGCCTGGCAAGCATGAGGTCCTGATTTCAATTCTTGGTACCAAAAAAACCCCCCCCAAAAAAAACAAAAAAATAAAAGTAGAAGGCAGCCTCCGCTAGTGGTAAAATAGGTTAACTGAAATGGCTTTTGTAATTCTTTATTTTGTGCTCAGGAAGAGGTAATTGGCTGTATACAGGCAAATATGTCCAGTGCATTTGATTATCGAAGTCCACTGCATGTAACTTGTTCTCCCACCTTTGCACTCCTGGGACACATTGCGCCTACCTCCTTCTACCACAACACTTGTCACACCACTAACTTGTTCCCTCCTGCCTCCTCCCTTGAACTGTA